CTTTTTCCTTTCCAATTTGGATGACTTTTATTTAATTCTCTTGGAGCTGGGACAACTTTATGGAATATGATTATTACTCATAAAGGTTGCTTGATGGAGGCTTTAGGGTTTTCTTTATATAAGATTATAAAGTCTGAAAAGAGATCAGTTAACTTTTTCCTTTCCAATTTGGATGACTTTTATTTAATTCTCTTGGAGCTGGGTCACATGGCTGCTGCTGGGTCCACAGCAGGGTCTGTGGTTGGTGGGTCTATTACCAGAGGCTCCTGTGGGCATGGATCCTGTCTGGTCCCTGAATGGACTGGACTGTCTCCAGGACCTTGACTGTAGGGCTGAGACTGGGATGATGGTTTGCTTCAGTGTTTGAAGGTGGTGGGCATTCCACTAGGCATGTGAATGAGAGTGAGTTGCTCTGGATCCCTGGGAAGGCTCATGCTAGATCACTGCATGGGTCCTGGGCAGACAGTACTGTCCCAATCCATGACTGAGAAGGCCTGAAACCAAGTCACAGGACTCTTTCAGACTAAAGACTTCAGGCGGGCCTGTCTCTGGGGCACAGATGACTATGTCTCCTGGTTGGTCCCTGGGCGGGCAGGTCTGCATCAGGCTGCAGTTGAGAGGCACTGAAGCCAAATTACTGTGCTGTTTTACAACTCATAGTGGGACAAAGTTCAGCAGGTGAGATATCAGGTTCACTGCCAAGTGTATCTGCCTCTGAGTTCTTGCCTGGGCAGGACTGCTCTCAAGCCATACCTGAGAGGGGCTAGAGTTGGGAATCAGGGCCATTGCAGGATGTGCTGTGGGACTAAGGTTTGCTTAGGGTCTGCAGCTGAGACTGAGGTCAACAGACCTGTCTTCTGAGGCACTAGTGTGTGTGACTCCTCCTGGGTCCCTTGTGGATAGTGTTGAGTAGCGTGGTCAAGGTCAAATAGGGCTGTAGCTTAGCTCACATGGGGATGGAACTGTGACTAGATCTGGAGACGAGATTATAGTTGGTGAGTCTGGGACCTGGGTGTGGGTCTAGTCTCTCAGAATAATTCTCCTTGGTCTTGGGCTGTACTGGAATTACATAAACTCCTAACTGAATCCCACAAAGTCACTTTTGTCCATGGGTGGTTGCAAAATTACTGTGCCCGTGGAGGGATATGAGTGGGGGACCTCCTATTTCACCAACTTGTTGATATCACCTCTTAGGTGAAAGTTTTTAAAATAACTTTTCTTCCCCTACGTGGTTTGACTTGGGTTTCTGTCATTTACACCTAAACATTCCTATTAAAATGCATATAGTGAGAGATTGAATGAATAATATGATGATTAGTTATTTAATATGTCAATCTCTAGCATGCTGATATAGTTTGATATTGTTTAATGTTTTATATTTCCAAGATACAATTATTTTTATAAAGAGAGATCTGAAAATTGAATAATTTATTTTTTAAAATAAATTATATGTAGGAATGTTTTAAGAACCAAATCAGAGAAATTGAGAAAATAAGTCAGGCAATGATGGTTTTTTTGTCAGTACAATAAATTGAAAGTGTAGTAATTTCTCAGGATAATTATTCTGTCACTAATAATTATTAGTGAAATGGCATAAGAAGAATATGAGGAAAAGAAATATATTACACTAAGATTTAGCAACCTAGTCTGAAGGTAGGACATAGTGACTGGCTGGTTAGCTTGCTGGTTAGAGTGTGGTGCTGATAACACCAACGGCCAGGGTTTGATCCCTGCACTGGCCAGCTGCCAAATAAATAAATAAACAAACAAATAAATAAAATTAGGACATAAACATTTAAGACACTCTTAACACAGCTATAGTTGGCAATGTTTGTGACTGAAATGAAGACAAGTTAACTGCATGGACGGTCAAGATTCTGTCTCCCATATATTGTGGAATATAAAATAAATTTTTTATAGGCATTTGGAAAAGGACAAACTAAATGACACACTTAGAGGTCCACTTTGTCCTTTCAATAAGAGCCCAATGTTTCCTATATCCTGGTGGTGTGTGATGAGATAAACTGATTTCAAAATAGCCCAAGTGTGAGAATTTCCTGTTCAAGCCTTAAGTGACACATTGACGATAAATCTAGTTTTTTCCACGCTTGACTCACTCTTAGTCTTCACAAAGCAATCTGTGAAGATCACAGACATCATTTGTTCTTGTCCTAGATTTATGTCTTTAAATCGCTCTTCTTAGTACTCAGCCATAGCAGGTCTTTTCGTGCGAATAGCCAGGCCTCCCCACTAAAGGACACATGACTTACTGGTGACAGAAGGTATGTGTTGCTGCTCTACTGTCTCTCTACTAGCCCACCACATTTAGTGGAGAATTATAAATGCTAGAAGTGATGCCACTGAGGTAAAATTAATATATAGTAAAGTCAAAGTAGAACATTGACTTCCTTTTGGAAGAATTCAGGGTAAAAACCTAACTTAAATAAAATCAAATATGTTGAAGGATTTCTTTAAAGATTCAAATTATCGCCTGTTCAGAATTAGCCAAGTGCATAGACACATATTTTGGTTTGTTAAGCATTATGATTTAAAGTGGAATCCTTAGGAATCATGACCATGAACAATTAATTTTAGATGCAATCAGCACACTGTGCATCTTTGAATAATAATAAACTAATTCATATTTAGTCCAGCCATTAAGAATAGATTTTTAAAAGGAATTAATTGAATGATAAAGGTTAAACATAATTCTTCAAGCAATAAGAGTAAACAAAAGTCATTTTATTTTTAATAAAAATAAGAATGATGTAGATTACATAAAATATTAAACAACAATAATTAAAAGACTGGTTAAACATAATTCTTCAAGCAATAAGAGTAAACAAAAGTCATTTTATATTTAATAAAAATAAGAATGATGTAGATTACATAAAATATTAAACAACAATAATTAAAAGACTTAAAAATTCATCAAAATACAGCAAATAAATATATACCACATTGATATAAGAAACTCCTGTCTGCTAATTTATTTTATGTGTTATAACTGATATCATTCAGAAAGAATAATATAGCAATTGTGTCTAAAATAAAAATTTAAATAGCTGACATTTATTGAGACCTTTAAGTGCTAGTCTGAGTGGTGTTTCATTTGAATTACATTGTATATGTTCTTATTCACATTTTAATTTAATAAACTAGGTCATTAGACACTGAGTAACTTTTTAAAGGTCATTCAGTATAAATTTCAAAGACAGAATTAATTCTAGATCTCACTGACTAGAGAGTCCTTTGACCGAATTATTAAATTACATTATCTGAATTATTACAATTACTTACACAACCAAAGCGACCCTCACTGACTTTGACAATCACAGGACCTTTCTGAAAGATTGAACCAACAGTGTTCTTCCATAGGTGTTCCCCTCTTACTTATCACTTATGGTTTCATAATTTAGCCATTAAATCAATCCCAATTACTTCTGTAAAATAATTATTTAAAAAATCCTTTTTGCGATGTTTCCAAAATTGTTAAAGTTACACCTAAGTTTATTGTGTCATATAGCATGTTCCAACATATAAAAATATCCTTAAATCTGTAATG